TCTTTTGCAAAGAACCAGTGTATTGTGATGCGTCGAGAAAGAGTATCAAAGAGCTCACCAATATCCTTAGCCCCACGGTGGGCGCCAAACTGTTTACCCTCGAATCCGGATAACAATTGAATTTATATGGGGTTTTAAGGATCCGTGAACTAAAAGATACAAAAGGTTTTTAGGTTAAGGAAAATAAAGATAAAGACTCAACAATTGCTGTTAAAGTAAATAATCGCAGAATATAATATTGCTTAGAACAATTGTGCTTGATGATCCTCAAGAATTTAGAGAGATCCCCCTTTATACATTCTGATTAAGGGTAAAAATGAGGTAGGTCAATTGATTACATCGTGGATCCCTGTAATTACGCCTTAATGGCCTGAAGTGGTTGAGAAAATCACGTTTGGGCGAGATATCCGGCGACGCTTGGTTATCCGTTACGAGTCCGGCTTTCGACCTTGTGTGTTTCTCCATCCGGTGGTGGCTCCTATCGAGCTCTGTAACGGTCTCGAAATGACTCGACCTCGGTTGTAGACGTGGCCGTCGTTCTACCTTGCATCCAGGTCGGGTTTGATGGCCCCGATTTGCTCCGGTCCGGACCCAACCCGGTCGGGCTCAAGCAAAAAAGGGTATCACCTAATACACTGTTATTTCAGGATTTGTTGTATATAGATACTACAAGAATTTGTGGAGTCGTCACAATTATATTTTATCTGGAGCATTAGATGCAGGATTAGCATTCATGGGTGTATTATTGTACTTGTGCTTAGGACAGGAGAATGTTAGCCTTAAGTGGTGGGGAAGTCATACAGATAACTGCCCTTTGGCTTCTTGTCCAACTGCTGAAGGTATTATGGTTGATGGATGCCCAATTTTTTAAATGGTTGCTGCTAGCTTAGCAATCTCATTTTACTCTGTTTCGTCATTTTCAATTGCATATGTATGATATAGTGTTCGGTAGGCTTAGTAATAATAGTACGTTAAATTGGATAGTGTAAAAATTTCATTTGCCTTGAACAACATTGTTACAGACATCCATTTACTAAATTGCAATTACCAATATTTGATGAGTTTCTTTTCTTTTTTTTATGGTAAATGTTATTTGATTACACGGTTTAAATTGACCTCGAAGGTTAAACTTTGAAATTTAACCAGTAACGTTCTTAATTTCTTTAACTAAATATCAGTCGCATTTGATAGTAATATTTTACTAAAAGAAAACTCAATATAAAATAGTGGTACTATTTTTTTTTCCTTTCCAAATTTCTCAAGTATTTGGTGAAATATGGGTCTGGGAGATGCGTGCTATACGACGTCGTAGTTCCATCGGAATAGCCGAATTACCAAATGTAAGAGCTGTGAAGTGAAATACGGAGTAACTGTAAAACGGGGAAATAGCAGGCCAAGGATTGGGAAGATGGAAGCAAATAGTAGCTTGAATTCAACAAGAAATGCATCGTCTCTTAGATGGAAGATTCTTAAACGTGCTATTCTTGGTGGTCCTTCATCCAATTCAGGTCTAGCAAAAGATATATGTGTAGCCCATTTTTGTCAAAGTTTTAATTTTTGATCATCTGAACTGGAATTGGGTGTTTTTTCAGATAATCAATCTGAAGTGGGTATTCAGCGAATATCAAGAAAGGCTACCCACAGCTTCAATTTGATACCATGCCGTGTGATGAAAGATTCCCCTGATGAAATCTTGGATTCTTCTTTATCAGAGAAGAAGCAGCTGCACAATTCGCGAGATGCTGTTTTCTGCTACACATTGCCTGTTGCTAATTCCCCTCAACTTCTTCTCCAGTAAGTTTGGAAGCCAAATGCTATGTGATATAACTGAAAAATATATCAACATTTGTATCCATTTCATTTCCTGGTGCAAATGTTGTGCTTTTTCTCCCTTTCGCCCTTGCAAAAAGGAAGTAGCCAAAATTAAACAACAGTAATTGTTTCGTTAATGGTTACAATTTATAACACCCTGGTTGATTATGGATCTGCTCTGATGGTTTCTAATGCTTAGAACTTGATGCAGTCAGAGAGTGGATGATCTTGCGGATCTTAGTGACTTTGAGGTCTGTAACAAATATGATATTGACAACACTGGGCTTGTCTGTAAGTATCCACCAAATCTAACTTTTTTTTTTCCTTTCTTTTTTGGTTATTTTGTAAACTCAGAATCCTAATTCACAGACTCCGGGAACAGCTGATTTGTTCTTTTCCAATTTGAGTCATGATGTTTCTAGTTAAATGAGAAATCTTTAATTAACACTAGAATTCATGATCCTCATCGAGTAGCTTTAGTTATTCAAGGATCTATAATTCCAGGTTACGGAAAAGATCATTATGCATCTAATGAAGAGGCATAATGGTTAGATGCATCTAGAGGGGTAACACCATAAAAAAGGACATCCCAAAGTTTTTACCTTTGCGTAGTATAATAGAATGTGTCCATGGAGAAACCATTTTTCTCCCTTATTTGAAGTCAGACTGAATGCTAGCAGGAAACCTTGTGAAGTAAAACTGAGGCGCCTTTGTTGTCATTTGTTCTTTGAGTTTGCTAGGAGTAGAGCTAATTAATCTAATATCACCCAAACACTTGGATAATTTATTAATATTGCGAAAGTGATTCATTGCTTAGAAAGAGTAATATCTATGACTCCGTACTATTGTCTGATGAAGTGAAGGACTGACTGCTTGCTTCACCAATATCCCTCTTCATATGTCATAAGGAAAGCCAAATGCTTCCAGATTTGAATGAAGTAGCTTGTCCTTGTTTTAATACCCTGGTTTTTTTCTACGTAAAATAGTTTTCTTTAGCCTCAAAGTTATTTGAAACGATTTTTGTTTCTTTCAAATAGAACAGTGTATGAGAAACTTGTCTATTCTTATAAAAGTGGACATTTTTGTTAAAGGCATATGTTTTAAGAAGACATACACCTTTTGAAATATTTAGTCAGAATTTTCAAAGAATAAGAGAATAAGGTGAAAAGGTTTTAAAGAGGATATTTTGTTAAAGGCAAGAGTTTTGACATACACCTTTTGAACTCTGTAGTCAAAATTTCAAGAATAAGAGAATATGTTTAAAAAGGAGACAAAACAAGATGTACAAATAAATGATAGAGAAGACGACATAAGTTGGACTTTGAGGTCCCTGTGATTTGATGACAAATGAGCAAAGAGTATGTGATGGCTCTCTTTGATTTTGCATAGTTAAAAAGGGCAGTCCGGTCAACTAAGCTCCCGCTATGCGCGGGGTCCAGGAAAGGGCCGCGCCACAAAGGTCTATTGTACACAACCTTACCCTGCATTTCTGCAAGAGGCTGTTTCCACGGCTCGAACCCGTGGCCTCTTGGTCACATGGCAGTAACTTTACCGGTTACGCCAAGGCTCCCCTTCGATTTTGCAAAGCATTTGAGGATAAAAAGTACTTACCATATGAAAAATGGTTTTTTAAAGTGTTTCTTAAATGTGTAAATGCACCTTTACTTTATTAAATTTCAGCACAAATATGTTGGTAAAAGCTCAACTGTGGAGCTTATAAGCTGCTTTTGGGCCTAAAATTCAGGCTGTAATGTCTTCGCTACTTACTTAAATGGACGGGCTTCCTCTAGTACCTTTACTATCAAATTGAAGTATGTTTTGCTGATTGTACAGGAGATTGTGCATTCAGTTTCAATCAACCTAAAAGGTCAATCTACTTTTTTCTTTGATTACTGCTAATGGATAGAGAGGATTCATGTAGCCGACCTCAACTGGCGCAGTATTGAGACATAGTTGCTGTTGTTGTAGTGCTGCTAATCTGTCCTAATTTAGAGACTTTCTTTTTGAATAGGTCAATGGCCATCTGAGGAAGTCCTTGCTTATTACTGTTTGTCACATCCAGACATGTTCAGGTTTCATATGTGTTCTATGTCAAGTTGAATGTTTTTCCTTGCACCTGAAAGTGACCTGAGTTACACATCTGTTTGACTTTTTAAGGCAGAAAAGAGTCATTGAACTTGGATCTGGATATGGCTTAGCTGGATTAGCTGTTGCAATGACAACAGAAGCATTAGAAGTTATCATATCTGATGGAAATCCTCAAGTCGTTGGTTGTATCCTTTTTATCCAATGGCTAGATGAGCATAATAATAACACTTAGTTTGTCCACTGGCCACCGACCACTTTTTGACACAAACACGTGATGATAAGATGCTGTTATGCTTTTAAGCTTCTTTTTCTCTCTTCAACTTTTTAGATTCATCAGTACCGACCTACATTGGGGTGGTTGCTCTTATATTCCCGGGGGACCATCCTTATATGAGTAAGGAGGAACAAGCACAAAGACTGGTGATTGCTAACCATTCTCTCAATAGCTGAAGACATACAATGGTTGACCTAGTATATGTCTCGAGTAGAATCATTATCTGTTATTTGAGGTAGCTGAATGGACTATCACGCCCTTTTATGATCTAACTTTTTCTTTTTACTGATATTTTGAACTGTTATTTACTTGTTGGCTCCAATATAACCAAAACCATATGACTGGTTTGTGAACGTAGACAAAGGTGATGTTTTTCTTTTTCATTTTCTTTAAAGTTCCCCTAGATTTAGAGTTAACAGCGAAATTCCTACCATTTATTTTACAGAAATTTAATGTCATCTTTAGTTCTTACAATGTATTATCTTTAGTTGGCATTTTCTTAATGTTCAGATATACAGCATAATATAAACGCCAACTCTGGTGGATTTGGTAGTACAGAAGTGAAGCCATTGATGCTACATTGGGGTCAGGATAAAGACTCTAATTTCTCCAACAAATTTGATATTATCATCGCAAGTGACTGGTAGTTCTCTTCTTTATTTTTCTTTTTCGCTATTTGCTTTATTTTTCGTTATTCATTAAACTGGACTCTTTAATTTATTACAAGAACTAAATCAGAGCTAGCACAAACACCACTATTGTCAAAATAATAATAATAATAATAATAATAATAATAATAATAATAATAATAATAATTAAAGAATAATAAATAAAAAACTGATCCAAAGATTTACCTTTCATTATGTTGAGGAGTTTCTGCTATATGTTGACTTCATTTATAATGTTGCAGCACTTTTTTTAAGGAATTCCATCAAGAACTTGCCGAAACCATCAAATTGTTGCTGAAAAAGGAGGTCTCCTCTGAAGCCATACTTTTCAGTCCCAAAAGAGGTGATTCATTGGACAAGTTTCTACTAAAAGTGAAAGATATTGGCTTGCGTTTCAGCGTAGAAGAGATCTTTCATGCAGAAGTTTGGAAACGTCATCAGGGATTCGTTAATGGTGATGACTCCTGGCCTAACTATGAGATGGATCATTGCTATCCTTTATTGGTCAGAATTACGGGGTGAACATCCGCAGTGCAGGTTTACTGTGTCACATGCTGTTTCAATAGTTGATTCAACTGAAATGTTTAAATCTGGAAGAACTTTCTGATTCGCATTGAAGTACAGTTGAAGTTCACATCGTCGCTTGAACACAAGCATCACTTAGTTTCTTAGATTTACTAAAAGAAGGCTGCCATAGCTCATCAAGTTCCTTTTTTTCCATATTATTTCAGCAAATAGTTTGATGTCATAGTTTCTCTAGCAGTTTTATATCTTGCCATCGATGGAATTGCAGATTAACTTTTTGTATCGTCAGTTCTCAATTGTTTACTAAGGTGTCTTGTTGCTGGATATTCACATACTATATGAAGAGGAGTTTAATATCCTGAAATATACTACTTCCATAAGTAGGATCAATATAGTGGTATTAGAAAACCTCTCTTTGCTATGTTATTGTTATTCTGGATCATACTGATGAATGTGCAGTTAAATAAGAACAAGAACTAGTTAGAAAGAAATTGATAAATGACC